GGACCTCCTTGGGTACCACGATCTGTTCCCCCCTCCAAAAAAGACCCTCCTTGTTCAGCAGGGAGACCCCAGGCAGGTCAGGAACCCAGTTGGAGGCAGCCTGCAATTTAGACAGTAGTTCCGACTGTAGCAATAGAAAGCTACCTGCCGGCAGGATGGTGTCTGGCTGGGGCATTTCCCTAGGATCCTCAAACATCTTAGAAAGGGCATCAGCTTAGTGTTCTTTGACCCAGGACGATACGTTATGTGAAGACTAAATCTCACGAAAAACAGTGCCCATCTGGCCTGGCGTGGACGGAGGCGTTTGGCTGTTTTTAAATACGCCAGGTTTTTGTGGTCAGTATAGACCAGAATGGGGTGTAGGGCCCCCTCTAGCAGATATCGCCATTCCTCCAGAGCAGTCTTAATGGCCAGTAACTCCCTATTCCCAATATAGTAGTTCCTTTCAGATGGGGATAGCTTCCTGGAGAAAAAAAGCCACTGGATGCATTAGCTCCTTGACCCCCACCCTCTGTGACAATACTGCTCCTACAGCCACTTCCGATGCATCTACCTCTAGTATGTAGGGTAGGGATGCGTCAGGGTGGCTCAGAATGGGAGCCGTTGTGAATAGCGTTTTCAATGTGTCAAAAGCTGCCTGTGCAGCTGGAGTCCATTGGAAACAAACTCCTACCTTGGTGAGCTGGGTAATGGGCGCTACCCGGCCTGAGAAGTTCTTTATGAATTTTCTGTAAAAATTGGCGAACCCAATAAATCTCTGAACTCCCTTCTTATCCGTGGAGGCAGGCCATTCCAGGATGGCTGAGATCTTTTGTGGGTCCATAGCGATCCCCATAGTGGAGATTATTATTATTTCCTGTTCAAAGCAGCATTTCTCGGCTTTCGCATAAAGACCATGCTGACGGAGGCGTTCCAGCACACTCTTAACATGTCCCCGATGTGCTTCCAGGGATGAGGAAAATATCAGGATATCGTCCAAGTAGACAATAACAAAGATATCCAGAAAGTCCCTGAAAATGTCATTGACAAAGTGCTGGAAGGTGGCTGGTGCATTACATAGCCCAAAAGGCATGACAAGACGTTCAAATGTCTGAACCGAGTGCGAAACGCCGTTTTCCACACGTCCCCCTCACGTATCCAAACCAAGTTATAAGCACCCTTGAGGTCCAACTTGAAGAAGATGGATGCCGTCCTCAACCTCTGAAACAATTTTGGGACCAAAGGAAGGGGGTAGCGGTTCTTGACTGTAATCTTATTGATGTCCCTGTAATCAACACACGGTCTCAGGGATCTTTTCAACAAAGAAAATCCCTGCCCCGGCCGGGGATGTGGAATGGCGGATAAATCCCTGCCGGAGGCTCTCGTCTATATATTCTCTTAAGGCCCCTAGTTCGCGCTCAGATAACGGGAAAATGCGGCCGAAAGGAATCTCGAAGCCTGGGAGCAGATCGATGGGGCAATCATAGGCCCGATGTGGGGGAAGAACCTCTGCCCCCCGTGGACTAAACACGTCCAGGAATTGGTGGTAAGCTGCAGATACCATTTGAGCTAACTCAGCATCATGACTTACAGTTAACAAGGCCAGGATATCTAGTGATGCTCTAGGTTGTCAATGTTCCCGACAGTATCGTGAGTGGAACTGGACTGACCCGGTCTTCCAGTCAATTTGGGGGTCGTGAGCTCGTAGCCAAGGGAGCCACAAAATAACTGGAAATAGGGGGGATGCGATGGGCGTCCAAGCGGAGAAACTCCTGGTGATAACCCGCCACAGTGGTGTGTATAGGAGGGGTCTCCCGGTCTCTACCGTCCCCGATTTTATCCGAGACCCATCCGCCAGAAAAATATTCACCCTGTGTTCTTTGGCGAGCAACGGTATCTGGTGCTGGGTAGCGAAACCGAGGTTGACAAAGCAACTACAGGCCCCGGAATCAATGATAGCCATCACCTGTGTGCTTCCTCCGGGGAGCTGAAAAGACACAGGTACAGCCAAGTGAGTGGGGTTGCCTGCACACACAGCAGATATATTTAGAAGAAAAAGCAGAGAATTTACAGTCTTTCTCCGGACAGGAACGCACCATATGACCCGTGCTCCGCAGTGAAGACACAGGTTATTGGCTTGATGCCTCTGTCGTTCCTCAGTAGAGAGAGTAGGCCGCATCAGGCCGAGTTGCATCGGCTCGGCCCCCTCAGACGGCTCTGGGCTCCGACTGCCGACACTGACCCTTGGCATGACAGGTACTCTAGGCATCATCCATGAAGTTCTCGGCCCCTGGCTGGACCTCTCCTGTCTCCTTTCCCACAGTCGGCGATTGATCTGTATGGGCCCGATCGAGTAAACCTTCCAAGGAGTCTGGAATTTCTGTTCTTGCCAACTCGTCCTTCAGTGGTTCTGACAGACCCAACCGGAACTGGTGGCGTAAAGCTGCATCATTCCACTGTGTGTCTCCATTCCATTGCCTGAACTCAGTGGCATAGTCCTCCGCTGCCCGGCATCCCTGTTGTAATGAGTAGAGAGCTGCCTCGGCCAGGCGGCTCGATGCGGGTCATCGTACAATTGTGCCATCGTCTTAAAGAATGTGGCGACAGTACTTAAATGCGGGTGGTGGGCCTCCATCAGGTGATGAGCCCATCCCTGGGGCTCACCCTGCAGCAAGGATATGACAAATCCTACCTTCACTGATTCGGAAGGTCTGGGGTTGCAGGTCAAAGTACAACCGGCACGACTTTTGGAAGGCCCTGAACTTCCCTCGGTCCCTGAACCGCTCAGGGGTCGGTACTCTTGGCTCTGGTAGAGGGATGGTAAATGTTGCTCCAACTGTAGACCCCGCTGCACCCGTGGCCGGAGGCGTACCCACTGGGCCTGGAGTTGTGGGTGCTGGTGCGACCAGGCTCTGGACCTGTCCCTCCAGGTGCTTGTATCCCTCTTCCAGGGTCTTCACTGCCCGTGTGAGTGCCGCCAGATGTTGGCATATCTCTTCCCAGGGTTAAGGTCCTCCACCAGACTCTGACATGGCCGTATGGTTCTGTCAGGAATCCAACCGCGGTAGCCTCTAGCACTCCACAGACCAGAATCCCCCAAGATGCGGAATCTAAGCTCCGACCTGCTTGTTCACTGGGGCCCCTGATGGTGGGGATGGACTTGGAGCAGGTAGAGACCAGGTTGCGGCCCCTGGGTTCACCCAGCTGTGGTAGAGGCACCGTAGAAGGTGTATAGCGGGTAAGAGTCTGATGTGAGGAGATAACTAGAGCAGCGTCTGGCAGGCCGAGTCGGTAACAGTGGTGGCTGTGTAGTACAGAATCAGCAGACAGAGGGATAAACAGGTCACAAGCCAGGTTCGTCAGAAGGAGGTCAGAACGTGCGGGGTTAAGCAGGAGAATGGTCAGACAAAGCCAGGGATCAGAGCAGGAGACGGACAGCAAATCAGGGTCAGGCAGGGCAACAAACAATCTACTCTCAGGAACACAGATAAGACCATACAGCAATTGAGCATTGCAGGAGCCCGGTTTAAATAGCCCGCCCGACTCCTGACAGGCGCTCCTGGGTCCTAGTGCTTGCCCCCGCGCCGTCATTGGTGACAGGTGCGCCTGGGTCCTAGTGCCCGTCTGCCTGTATGTTTTTTCAGGATTCTAAGCATGTGCAGATTCGATCGCCGTGGCGATCTTCTCATTCCCTGACAGAACCCCTCTCCTGTTCAAGTTATTCAGCAATAAATTCTAAAAAGATATCCACTAGACTGAGCCTGAATTGTTGGTGTGCATGGAACTGTGCTTGTGACTAGCAGCCTCTGTACTATTGTAGGACACTGGGCTATACTGTCAGTGGTCCCTGAGGGGGATGAGCACTACACCTCTTATGCAGGTATTTTGCTTTCTGACAGTTTGGCTTTAAAGCTTCTATAAATAATAGATTATTTTACAATATGTGGTTCAACTCTTAAATTGTGCTGCCACAACAGTCTGTGAATTTCATATGTTTCTCTGTTTCCTCTCCTGATTTGCTAACAGTTAGACACTTCCAGTCTCCTCATTCTCAAATTGGTTTCAGTTCACCCTTCTGTGAGAAAGAAGGCTCAACTGCAAGCAAAACCCAAGTGCCACACTGTCAACACACTGATAAATACAAATCATTTAGAGTGTTCAGCTTAGACTTTTAGGAGTATTTAAAGCAGTATTAAACCCAAAAGCAAAAATGTATCATATTGCAGCATACCAATTCTTAGATGTGATGGCTGCATTCGTTTTCTTTTTGTTTTTTTCCCCTCTTTATTTTCACCTGGTGATCCTGCTAGTATGTTGGTTAGGTGCAGCGAGGTGCAGTAATCGCACTGAGGCCTGGAATGCAGAAACCAGTGTATTGAAGAACTTATATAGCCTGGTCACCCATCCAGAAACTCACAGTCAATGCAGCGGAAAGTCAGCAGTAGCCCGAGCTGAAGACAGCACTTGCCGAGGGAGGTGGAGTGCGGCCTGGCTGGTCCAACCCAAGAGGGAGCTTGCAGAAGTGTAGACGTAGACCCGTAGTGCTGTCCCTGGCACTAGCTAACTTTGCAAATGTACACCAAAACCTGGGGGCAGGCACTTAAAAAGACTCTGCTTGACCCAAGATGGCCACCAGGGTCACCTGGATGTAGCGTAGCCAAATGAAACACTTATCCTGAAACTATAGAGAAACCAAGTTTCTTTTGACTTCCTCTCCAGCTGTAATAGAGCTCCAGTCAAGACCCACGTACAGTGGAGAAAATAGTCTGCACCTGCCTACAAGTGAGTCTTTTCTTTTTCAAGTTTCTTAACCACTTGCCTACAGGGCACTTATACCCCCTTCCTGCCCAGGCCAATTTCCAGCTTTCAGCACTGTCACACTTTGAATGACAATTGTGCGGTCATGCAACACTGTACCCATATGAACATTTTTTTTGTGACAGATCAAGCTTTATTTAGGTGGTATTTAATCACCTCTGGGTTTTTTATTTTTTCTTAAACAAACCAAAAACCACTGAAAATTTTGAAAAAAAAAATTTGTTTCTTAGTTTTTGTTATAAAATTTTGTAAATAAGTGAGTTTTCTCCTTCACTGATGTGCACTAATGAGGCTGTAGTGAAGGGCACTGATAGGCTGCACTGATGGACACTGATAGGTGGCACTGATGGACACTGAGGAGGCACTGGTAGGTGGCACTGATGAGCACTGAAAGGCAGCACTCATATATGGCACTGTTAGGCGGCACTGATAGGCAGCACTGACAGGCACTGATAGGTGGCACTGACTGTCACTGATAGGCGGCATTGACTGGCACTGATAGGTGGCACTGATTGGCATCACTGACTGGCATTGATAGGTGGCTCTGACTGGCACTGATGGGTGATACTGAAAGGCAGCTTAGATGGGCACTGATATCTGGCATTGATGTGCACTGGTAGGCACTGAAATGTGGCACTGATGGGCACTGGCAGGTGGCTTGGATGAGCACTGACAGCTGGCACTGATGGACACTGACAGGTGGCACTGCTGGGGATACTCAGATCATCAGGGCACACTGATCATCAGTGCTCTGATGATCAGTGTACATGTCCCCTCCGAGGAATGCCGATTGCCGGCTCTCCTCTCCTCTGGAGCTGTCAGCGTGACAGCTCGGGAGGAGAGAAATGACGATAACCGTCATTTCCCTGTTTACATGTGATCAGCTGTGATTGGACATCTTCGGCTTTAATTCAAGTCAAGTCCATCTAAATATGCTCATACATCTAATCTACCCTTTCCCCAGATTGTCAGTGCTGCTGTCTCCATTGCTCCTCCATGCAGAGTGGAGACACCCTATAATGTGAAGTGTGTTACTGGCCAGATCAGTTAAAAAAAGGGAAACATGTCTAAAAAAAATAACACAACCACTATATGCAAAGATTGGTAATATATTTATTTTGTTTTTTGGTTTAAAACCTCTAAAGCAAACAAAAAAAATAAAAAATCGCATGCACAATAGCAATGCTATGGGGGTATCTAGCACACATCTGATTGGCAGGTGGCATTTTAAAATCAGATCATTTATGGTTAGTGTGAAAATATTGCCATCTAGTGACAACAATTGTAATAGCAATTTGTGCAGTTTGCAGCCTTTGAGAAAAAGTTTATTACATTCTTTGTACCAACTGATAAAGATTTAATTTCATAGTGACATTTTTTCTTTGTCGTCTTATTAGGAAAAGCTATCCTTAGCAGTTTATGGTAAATTTGCCAATCCAGGCTAAAGTTAAAGAGTAATACAATAGGTGAATCTCTCATCAAAGGTTTATCTCTCTGAGAAGTTTTACCCCAATAGACACCTGGAAACCATTCTTGAATTCTTTGCCTGTTCTAGAGGCAAATAATAAGCTGTTGAATATTTCCAGAACACAAGAAAATTGAGAGTTAAGCATCCCATATCCATTTATATATACGTGTAGCACTACCCCCTTGGGGCCGCTGGAATTTAATTGGGTCCCCCTAAGCTCTGCATGGCCAGACAACACACATTTTCCACCCTTGTACACTTGGAGTCAATAAACAGTCCTTGAGCTTGTTTTGTTGTTTAGTGGTTAACAACTTGGATTGGTTCTAGGGTTATATGGAATGCCCAAGGAACTGAAGAATTTGAGGACAACTTCTGAGCAACTATGTACAAAAATGTGCATAGCAACAGTCTCTTCTTGAAGAGCACTAAAAGCTCTTCAGAGTATCTCCTCAGACCCTGGATGATTCCTCCTCTTCATCCAGCTGCCTTAGGGTATCCCTGAGCAGGGGGCCCAAGAGCTGCCAATTGAACAGTTCCAGATGAGGAGCTAGTTGGGTATTACACTTGACTGTCCTCTGCCCTTATCCGGCCCAGGGGGTGTAGGAGTACGCACACTGTCCTCTCCTGTTAGTTTAGTGGACTGGTGGCTGCCTTCAGGCCTTAGGCTGGGCTGGCTCCTTCCCTGCTAAACAGGCTGTCCTCTCCAGGAGACATTGAGGCAATAGAGATCTTCCTCTCCAGCATACTGCCTGTAGGTAGGTTCCCTCCTTGGGGCCCCCTCCCAGGCTCCACACTCCAGCCTTCCTCAATCCATCTTCCACCCCACACTGCTCACTACCCCTAGGCTCTGCTACTTTTAAGGGTTGTCCTTAAAAAAAAAAAAAACTAATGCAGCCACCACATCTAAAAATTGTAAGCTGCAATATAATAAATGTTTGCTTTTTTAAAGTTTTAATACCACTTTCAGCACCAGTCATTTCCAGGCAATCAGTCTCCAGCTTGCAAAAAAACAAAAAAAAAACACACTTCTTTATATAAAAGACTGATGATAAAATTAAAGAGATTCACACAGAGTTTTGTTTGCCAGTTCTTTTTATTACTGAAACAAACTAGTCAAATACAAATTTCTCTTTTAATGGAGGTGTATGGGGCTCAGCAGGGCTAATTGTAACAAAGCAGATACTTTACACACAGTCTTATTTATTACATTTCTTGCAGGAATAATTGTTGATCCATAGCAACCAATCATAATCTTTCTTTAAATATCCTATACAACACCAGGACAATAAAAAGAAAAAAGCTGAATGGTTTGATGGATAAGAAGTCTTCCTTCAGATATTGCAGGTTACTCAGGCCTAAACTTCATTTCTGTGATTTTATATGAGTAATGCTGTCCCTTGCCCGTCTCCCAAATCACTCCATTTGCATAACTGTCATGTTTTCCCCTCAAATACAGCCCATTCAGGTTGGAGTTATGGCATTTTCCATACCACCAAGCACCTTTAAATCTGCTGCACAGTTGGTGCCGGATTCATCATTGTCCCTGTCTTTTGTACTAAAGGGACGGTTGTTATGATATCCAAGAGAGTCACCTGCAAATAAAGAAAAAGTACTATTCATTGGCTTATATTCTATCTGCAACCTTCCGCAGAAATCTTTTCAGGTTGCCTGATGTTGGTCATGGAATCACCAGCAGACAATCTCATAGCTAACAATATGTTTATATCAACTTGAATGCAATTGTGATTGTTGTTGCTCATACCAGCCTAGATAAAATGTTTTCCCACTGTGAATGAAAATGCAAGATCTTGCTATATAGTAGTCTTGTTCGTAAGCATTTAAAATTTGCTAGGTTACACTAAAAAAAAAAAAAAAGACTCCACATTGAGTGACTGTGGTCTAAAGAAGGGCCATAGATGAGTCGAAAACTGACCGAAAATTCTTGGTCATTAGTTTTTTTTGCATCATTAGTGTGCCAGCTGCGACATGCAATTTTCGCATCACAATCGAAAGTGACTGATCCAACATGCTGGATTTTGTTTTAAAAACAAAACAAATGATGGCACAATCGTATGTTTCCATTTTTCGATCAACAGAACGTTTGGTTTTCGACTCGTCTATAGCCTGCCTAAGGTAATTCTCTTTTACATTTTTCACCTAATTTTTTTGGGCTATATATAATTGTTTTTACATGATGAGCGGGGTCTACTAAATATGGGGACCTTGTATTTTGATGCAAAGTCCACTTCATGATCTGACAGATAAAAAAAAAAAAAAAATCCAGAAACAGAAGGAAATATAAAAAAAGGATTTAGCTTTATGACATGTCAGGTAAATTCTGGTCTTCATACATTAGATTAGAAAAGAAATTTAAGACTAAAACTGATAAAACCTACAGAGGGTATCTGTGTCTTTAATTTGGAATATATTAGCCAAGATGATGTCACTTTCTCTGCCTGAAGGGTTTTCAAGTCTTCCTGTCCAGTTGACCATTTAGAGCAAAGTAACAAGTTCATCCCTACTGCCAGCTGAGGGAACAAGGGGTAAGGTTCTTATCACTGTGTAAGCTCTAACACAGATCAACATGGAGCTTACACAGGATTTTCCACCCAGGGCTACAGTAAGTGCAGGGACGGACTGACCATTTGGGCACTCGAGCACTGCCCGAGGGCCCAGGGTCAGTAGGGGGCCCCATGAGATGCCCCTAGTACCTTTCATAGGCTTTTTTGGGTGTGGTTTGAGTGTGTGTGAGATACAGGGGCCCCATGATCCCCTATTGCCGGGGGCCCCATGAATTGTCAGTTTGCCCCTGAGTAAGTTAGTGTAGTGGGTGGGAGCAAAGAAGAAGTAGAGAATGTAGACTATCAAGAGAATCTGTTTTCTACACTTATTGGACAAACTGACAAGTTCATTTTAATGTAGTAAGTTGTTTTAGCCCATAGGAGGGTATGGATTGTGGGGCTGTGTACTCCTACAGTGCCAGCATACTAACCCAACACAATCCATGCAACAAAAGCACTTATTAGTCACACACAACACTGATACACTATATGTAAAGATTTACACTACACATATTAATTACATAAACCTTCTCTTGTTCCATCTGTCCACACATGCCAATTGTTCATACATGGCAAGCAGTAGACATGTGTGGGTGCAGTACCAACAGATAATATGGAGCTGATGTGCTGATGTCTTTAGTAAACATTGTCCTCCATCACCGCATTCTGGGGAAGTATATGTACCCAGTAATCCCCCCCCACGGGCTCTGAACAGTAGCAACTCTCTGTGTGTAAACTTGCCCCCCCCCCTTTGCTTATCTCCACCGCGGGGATTGGTGTGCAAGCAGACTCTGTAATTATCCCCCGTTTGCTTCCTCCCCCCCTTACCCCCTGTTATGGCTGATCGGATCCAATCAGGGGGGAGGATGCACTTGCCACAAAGGACACTGGGACTTCATAAGAGGGAGAGCACAGTACAAGTGAATGGGGGACTGAGAGTCCTCTAAACTACAAGAGACAGGATTTAGAAACAGAGGATGAGAGACAAGATGGTGTTTTCCCAGCCAAAATCAGGATGCTGGCCGCCTTTGCAAGCCAAGCCAAAAGACCTGCGGCGGGACATGCCACCTTGGTATGGAAGAAGAGGTGCCACATAGAGGGTGTTACTGGTCTTACTGCCTGAGCTTGTCTGCTTGCACCAGAGGAAGGATAGTCCCACTGCTGCAGCTTGCCAGAGACTACATGTGGGTGAGCCAGAGCTGAGAAACAGAGCCTCTGGGACCTCCAGTCTGGAACTGCCATGCATGTGGATTTGGACCTGTCGCCTGCTAAGGGTGGTGAGAGGAGATACTGCATTTAACTCCTTGCTACACCCAGTCCTGCTTAGACTGTTTTCCACTTAGTAGCCCTGCAGCTATACACCACATACTCTTAAAGAGTGTGCACCTACAACAGAAGGGCCCCCGCACCGTAAATTAGCCAATGCTAGCATTAAGGCACCAGGTACATGAGACATCACCATCTAGGGGTACCCTGCTAATGATCACTTACCCATAATTGTGGTATTCTGATAGAGTGCACTCAAGAATTTTATCCTTGCATTACCTGAGTCTAGTTTCGCTCATTAATAGTTATCTCAGTTTAAAACTTAGTTTTACACTGCTGCAGTTCAGTTAGTCTTTTCTGTTATAGGCCTGTGTTCACTTTATTCAGTTCTGCAACTTTGAAGTGTTTTATCGTTTGATGCCAAGTCTTATACTGTTTATCTGCTTTATATAATACATTTACATAACCTACCATCTGGTAATCTGTGGCCTAATTTCAATGCATTATTATATAGCTGTGACTTGCTAAAATTTAAGGTATTCAGGTGTAAGCGATTCTCTACCTCTAACTGGGTGTGTCAATGGGGACTGATCGATTCTAAGAGTCGTGGCAGAACAGAAGACCAATCATCACTAGAGGTTCCTGAGGGGTAAGCACTACATGTAACATGTGCAGTCATGAAGACGATTGGAGCATGCTCATATACACATTAGAAGAGCTGTACTTTAAATGTGGGAATTGATACAAATTATTATTACCAAGCACTCCTTGCTCTCTAAAAGTCCTTTTTGAACATTCAATTTAAATGAGCTAAATACAAAAGAAAAGGTGTGCTAAGTGTTACACACCAGACTCTAACCTTCTCCCTTTCCGCAAACTAGCACCTTATCAATGATTATATTGACCCCTCAAAGAACATGAGCTGGATTTTGTCAAACCTGTAAGACCATCACAACTATATAATGTATTTTTGTTTTTCTTCTGTAAATTATTATTAAATAGGATTTATATAGCATCAAGTTTGCACAGTGCTTAAATGATAAATCCTCTGTTGTAAGATATGAGTAGCTACTCATGTTCTAAGCTTTGTATTTGTGCATTATATTGTTTCAATACTGTATTAGAGTATCCTCCTGCGCTCAATATAGGCACAATCCCTATCTGAAACAGCTGCTGTCACTTAAAACTTAACCATTCAGTAACCAATAATATATATCTTAAACAGTGAAGCGCTAAATAAATAAATAAATAAATAAATATATTAGGTGCCGTCAGTGAATATAAGTGCTATAGTGTGAATAATTCCTTGTAGATCACTGGAACATGCCAACCAATGGTGTATATAACTGGAAACAAAACTGAATACTTAATATATCAGTGAGAAATGCTAAATAGATATATAAATAAATATAAACACACCAGTGATGAATAATCTAATACCTCCGATAAAAACTTCTTCTCATTCACAGAAGAATATAAATAAATAAAAAAGTGCTCATTAAGTGAACAAATGATCAAAAACTCAAAAAGTGAACAAGTGTATATAAAAAAACTTTTCTACGTGCATATACCAAAAATGTATATACATATAACATATATATAGATAAATAAAGTCCATGCAGGTGTAGCTTGTGAAAAAACGTGGTCTTCACTTCTAGTGCGCACACACACACAAATCCTCTCAAATGGCAGCAGTGCCTGCTCACCTCCCCGCACTGACCCTCAAGGGGCCAAAAGGCTACTTGATCTCCTCTATGGCCAATCTTTCTCCTTCGGTAGCTCAGCAGGGGATCACAGGGTCTCCACTTCTCCTCCACTCATACGTCATATAGGACATAAAACAGAGCTCCCATAGTGTAATATTGTTTATTATAGGCCACTTCTATTGTATATTGGTTGTACTCACAATTTTCTCCCTGGTTACACAGACTTTCCACCTCATCCCATAGGTGTATCACATGAATCACAGGGGAACACCAATATGGCCGCTCCGTTCGGACATGCGTCTCACGTGACCGGAAGTGACGTATTTCTAAACCGGATATGGCGTACCGACGCGTTGCGTCATGTGCGTCGTGACTTCATCAGGGTTAACGCCCACCAGTGTCAGAATGCATTTAAATAGGTTTATATGTATAATATGAGGAATACTGTAAACTTGAGCCATAGGTGTATCAACATGATTCCTTTTATATACATAGGAGACATTCCTATATATGGTAGATATTAGTGGTTAAAGTATTAATGGTCCGTTTCTAATATTATGATTAATTTTTCTGTAGAAGGGTTATTGCATAGATGTGGTATCAATAATATATATATTTATATATATATATATATATATTTATATGGGTTTTAGATTTTTTTATATATATATATTTTTTTATTGGTGTCTATTAAATATAATTATTATGTGTACAAAGGTTTTTTAATATAATAAAGAGACTTTTTAAATAGGGTGGATGGTTGGGGTTTAAACTGTATAGTGATACTCCATAGATTTATCGGTTACCAATGGGATATAAGAATTGCGATCATAAATAGTGATATAGATTGAGGTTTTTTCCCATAGGGGGACCTTATGATAATGTCCCTCCGTGTTGTATGGTGAAGATAGCGGGCTTCGGGAAAATGGCCGCCGAGAGCCCGCCTTCTAATTGGGAAGAGAGATTAGGCTGATCCTATTTAAATGCATTCTGACACTGGTGGGCGTTAACCCTGATGAAGTCACGACGCACGTGACGCAACGCGTCGGTACGCCATATCCGGTTTAGAAATACGTCACTTCCGGTCACGTGGGACGCATGTCCGAACGGAGCGGCCATATTGGTGTTCCCCTGTGATTCATGTGATACACCTATGGGATGAGGTGGAAAGTCTGTGTAACCAGGGAGAAAATTGTGAGTACAACCAATATACAATAGAAGTGGCCTATAATAAACAATATTACACTATGGGAGCTCTGTTTTATGTCCTATATGACGTATGAGTGGAAGAGAAGTGGAGACCCTGTGATCCCCTGCTGAGCTACCGAAGGAGAAAGATTGGCCATAGAGGAGATCAAGTAGCCTTTTGGCCCCTTGAGGGTCAGTGCGGGGAGGTGAGCAGGCACTGCTGCCATTTGAGGATTTGTGTGTATGTGCGCACTAGAAGTGAAGACCACGTTTTTTCACAAGCTACACCTGCATGGACTTTATTTATCTATATATATGTTATATGTATATACATTTTTGGTATATGCACGTAGAAAAGTTTTTTTATATACACTTGTTCACTTTTTGAGTTTTTGATCATTTGTTCACTTAATGAGCACTTTTTTATTTATTTATATTCTTCTGTGAATGAGAAGAAGTTTTTATCGGAGGTATTAGATTATTCATCACTGGTGTGTTTATATTTATTTATATATCTATTTAGCATTTCTCACTGATATATTAAGTATTCAGTTTTGTTTCCAGTTATATACACCATTGGTTGGCATGTTCCAGTGATCTACAAGGAATTATTCACACTATAGCACTTATATTCACTGACGGCACCTAATATATATATTTATTTATTTATTTATTTAGCGCTTCACTGTTTAAGATATATATTGTTTCAATACTACCTTTAAAACAGCATACCTTTTCTGTTTTTACTTTTTTTTTTTTTTTCAATTGAAAGGACATTTACCTGCAGTGCCTCCAGTATAAGCTCCAATCTCCAGCTTGTAATTGTCATTTTCTCCCAAAATGGCAAATGAAGCATAAGCAGCAAAACTGAAATTATTTTCATAATCAACCAGGTCAACCCGAAACTCATATGTTCCTGTAAGGAAACATATTAATAAAACCACAGTTGTCCGGCTACAAAAAACATAGGTACATTTTCTTAAACTCGTCTATGCACAAGTAGAAGATTGTGTGGATAATTAATTTTTCTCCCAGTTCTGGAATTCTCAGAACACTTCTAAATTCCTAGGGGGTGAGCATTCACTTGAAGCAGGTGGGGTCTGGGCAGAATCAAAACCATTGGCTAAAACTTCTGCCATGTTTTGGAACTGCAGTATTGGTAAGTATGCAACTGTCACTTGGACTTTAAACTTCCCACATGGTTACTACGCTTTGCTGCATTTAGTTTTTTAAGTAGGTTTTAAGATGGATTGACTATAAACACTTCTTCCATGGGTCTCTTAGAAATCCCTCAACTGCTGCAGCTCATCAGTGGATAATTAGGTAAATACAGGCAACACTGCAGGTTTGTTTCATTGCTTGGAAATACTGGATAATTGTATTAGTAAATATATGAATAAGAGTGTTCCCAGGTTGCAGGAAAAAGGAAAGACGAGGTTTAGGATTGAGTAGAAAATATAGGGGGTCTAATAATGAAGGTTCTTGTAAAAATATATACTGTCATTTCTCCTAAAAGAGCTTTTAATGAATTTGCCTTTTCTTCTACTCAGGAGATGTGGTTTGACGTTTGTGCCTGTGACGTAAGCATCCAAGAGGCTATCTTCCTCTTTCAAGGTTAAGAAAAGCATCTTGTGGTCAAACCAGTTTGAACCAGCAACTGTCATGATGGATGACCACATGTCTCTATTCTGGACTTGTCACATGATATTAGCACCACTTAACTCTGAGATTGCTGGTATGCATATAAGGATTTGATTGGACTAAAAACTATACGAACACGCCTGGACCTTATATGATCATGCCTGGACCTTATACGAATCCGCCCCAGACATTATATGAACACGCCTGGATGTTATATGAACACGCCGGAACTTATAGGAACATGCCCGGACCATATACGATCACGCCCAGACCGCATACGATCACGCCCGGACCGCATAAGATCACGTGCAGACCGTATACGATCACACCCGGACCTTATACGAACACGCCTTGACCTTATACGGACACGCCTTGACCTTATACGGACACGCCTTGACCCTATACGAACATGCCCAGACCTTATACAATCACGCTCGGACCTTATACGATCACATCTGTACCTTATACGATCACGCCTGAACTTTATGACTATACACTCAGGTCCATAAATATTGGGACATGGACACAATTCTAACATTTTTGGCTCTATACACCACCACATTGGATTTGAAATTAAACAAACAAGACGTGCTTTAACTGCAGACTGTCAGCTTTAATTTGAGGGTATTTACATCCAAATCAGGTGAACGTTGTAGGAATTACAACAGTTTGCATATGTGCCTCCCACTTGTTAAGGGACCAAAAGTAATGGGACAATTGGCTTCTCAGCTGTTCCATGGCCAGGTGTGTGTTATTCCCTCATTATCCCAATTAAAATGAGCAGATAAAAGGTCCAGAGTTCATTTCAAGTGTGCTATTTGCATTTGGAATCTGTTGCTGTCAACTCTCAAGATGAGATCCAAAGAGCTGTCACTATCAGTGAAGCCATCATTAGGCTGAAAAAAAAAAACAAACCCATCAGAGAGATAGCAAAAACATTAGGAGTGGCCAAAACAACTGTTTGGAACATTCTTAAAAAGAAGGAACGCACCGTGAGCTCAGCAACACCAAAAGACCGGAAGACCATGGAAAACAACAGTGGTGGATGAGCAAAGAATTCTTTCCCTGGTGAAGAAAACACCCTTCACAACAGTTGGCCAGATCAAGAACACTCTCCAGGAGGTAGGTGTATGTGTGTCAAAGTCAACAATCAAGAGAAGACTTCACCAGAGTGAATACAGAGGGCTCACCACAAGATGTAAACCATTGGTGAGCCTCAAAAAAGGAAGGCCAGATTAGAGTTTGCCAAATGACAAAAGCCTTCACAGTTCTGGAACAACATCCTATGGACAGATGAGACCAAGATCAACTTGTACCAGAGTGATGGGAAGAGAAGAGTATGGAGAAGGAAAGGAACTGCTCATGATCCTAAGCATACCACCTCATCAGTGAAGCATGGTGGTGGTAGTGTCATGGCGTGGGGCATGTATGGCTGCCCATGGAACTGCTTCTCTTGTATTTATTGATGATGTGACTGCTGACAAAAGCAGCAGGATGAATTGTGAAGTGTTTCGGGAATATTATCTGCTCATATTCAGCCAAATGCTTCACAACTCATTGGACGCCGCTTCACAGTGCAGATGGACAATGACCCAAAGCATACTGCAAAAGCTACCAAAGAGTTTTTTAAGAGAAAGAAGTGGAATGTTATGCAATGGCCAAGTCAATCACTTGACCTGAATCCGATTGAGCATGCATTTCACTTGCTGAAGACAAAACTGAAGGGAAAATGCCCCAAGAACAAGCAGGAACTGAAGACAGTTGCAGTAGAGGCCTGGCAGAGCATCACCAGGGATGAAACCCAGCGTCTAGTGATGTCTATGCGTTCCACACTTCAGGCTGTCATTGACTGCAAAGGATTTGCAACCAAGTATTAAAAAGTGAAAGTTTGATTTATGATTAATATTCTGTCCCATTACTTTTGGTCCCTTAACAAGTGGGAGGCACATATGCAAACAGTTGTAATTCCTACACCGTTCACCTGATTTTGGATGTAAATACCCTCAAATTAAAGCTGACAGTCTGCAGTTAAAGCACATCTTGTTCGTTTCATTTCAAATCCATTGTGGTGGTGTATAGAGCCAAAAATGTTAGAATTGTGTCCATGTCCCAATATTTATGGACCTGACTGTATATGTATCAGTTTAATTTTAAGAGTTCAGATATTTATTAATTACCTTGGTTCATCTCATACGAGATGAACGTCTGTATGCTATATTATCTCCACTGCAGTGTCATAAATGCACCTTTTTCTTTATCAATTTGGACTCACTATCTCATCTGAAGGGTCTCGGTTGTGGACCCCCAAACCTGACTCGACAGGATGTAAGAATGAACATATCAATTACCAGATGCTGTCAGCAGATGGATATTATCATTCCCCAGCCAGAATTCACTCAGTTGATTGCCAAACCCTCTCTTGTAGTCCTTCCAGTCTCTAAAAAATTCACTGTGCCATCATACCGCCTCTGGAACACCTAAAAGTTTAAATAAATCACAAGGTAAAATGATGATGGTACTAATGGCATATGCCAGGATAGAAGCAAGTTGATGTTGATGAATAAGGTGAGATATTGTAGCTGGGCTAGAATTAGATACAGTTGACTACTACTTGCTATACCATGACCTGGATACAGGAGAACCTTCACTGTCTATTCCCCAAACCATCACTGACTCACCACCAAAACGGTCATGCTGAACAATGTTACAGGCAGCATAATGTTCTCCACGGCGTCTCCAGACCCTTTCACGCCTGTCACGTGTGCTCAAGGTGAACCTGCTCTCATCTGTGAAAAGCACATGGAAAATGCCAATCAAGCTCTATGGCGCTGGCCAGTGAGCACAGGGCCCACTAGAGGACGTCAAGCCCTTAGGCCACCCTCATGAAGTCTGTTCTGATTGGTCAGAGACAATCACACCAGCGGCCTGCTGGGGGTCATTTTGTAGGGCTCTGGGAGTGCTCATCCTGTTCCTCCTTGCACAAAGGAGCAGATACTGGTCCTGCTGTTGGGTTAAGGCCCTATTCAGTTCTCCTTGAGTAACTGCCTGTCTCCTGCAATCTCTTCCATGCTCTTGGGACTGTGCTGGGAGACACAGCAAACATTCTAGCAATGGCACGTATTGATGTGCCATCCTGGAGGAGTTGGACTGCCTGTGCAACCTCTGTAGGGTCTCCTGCTATCAGTAGTGACACTGACCGTAGCCAAATGACAAACTAGTCAGAAAAGATGAGTATGGAAAACATGTCAGTGGCTTCCACTTGTAAAAGCATTCTTGTTTTGGGGGCCATCTCATTGTTGCCCATCTAGTGCACCTGTTGTTTATTTCATTAACACCAAAGCAGCTGAAACTGATTAACAACCCCCTCTGCTACTTAACTGACCAAATCAATATCCCAGGAGTTTAATTGACTTGATGCTATCTTCTGATTAAAAAGTGTTTCTTTAATTTTTTTGACCAGTGTATATATACAGTATATACTATATCGAATACAAGAGTTCTACTATGCATACAAAAATTCTTGTACAGATCCAATACAACGTCCTGTATGCATAGTAACATAGATTTTAATTTGAAGTGAAGTCATGTACATGTGACCCTTCTGCAGATAATTACCACATTGTAGTAATATGACTATCACTGCATTTTTGCTATTATATATATTTATATCTTGAAAATTATATTTTTTTGTATTTAGGAGCAATTTCGTTGTATACAAAAAATGTTTTCATTGCCCTTTTTCCTTCCGGGTTGTTTTCATGTTTCCAATCACAAGACATGTGGACGCTGGAAAATTTTGTTTCATCTCAGATGCATTCATTCATAGAAGAATGTTTTTTTTCTTCATATTCGATATGTTGAACTGATTTATTTTCAGGATTCATGTCATCACATCTAGCATTCGTTTCATATATTAGATGGTCCAAGTAGATTCAAAAAGTTTTGCGTTTTTCAGAAGATTGCTATATATTTCAGATGGATTCGATATTCATATATCAAAACTATTAGAAAAAATTCAATATTTTCAGATGGAAGAAATAATGCAAAATTTGTCAGCCCTGAATTTTTCAAACCTAAGAATTGCATTAGACTGTGGAACTGAACTGACCGACTGTGACAATTACAAATCCTATTTAAATCACACATTTACTCATTTCCCCATGGGCCGATAATTTCCTCATTTGACCAAACTACTATCAAATCATGTGACGTCATCTGAATGAAACAAATGCATTCCTTCATTTCGTTATAACTTTTTTCTGATTCATTGACATTTGTTACTATGTCCATTCGGAGATTCATATACATCCGGATCTCTGAAAATCAAATTTTCAGACAAAAATTGATTGATCGATCCTGATCTTGGTCACTTGATTTTTTACAGATGCATACTGTACTGATTAAATGAAAGTCATTAATTATGTTATCTTACGAGGAAATTTTTTTGTGCTTGTCTGTTTAATTTCACATGAAATATTGTGATCGGCTCTCGAAAGCTGTGTACTAACTGATAGATTATCATGCGATCGCTATGAATGCGATTTTTGATCAATGTCCCTAATTCTATATTCAGGTTGATTGTAAAATGAAGTTTATCTGACTGGCATTTAAAAACTTACGATCCATCCTCCTCCTTCTGTGTCCATGTCACAGAAGACTTTAAGTGACTTCTCTCCAGGATATATGGTGTACCAGCCACTGAGGAAGATGCCCAGGTTGAGCAGTTCTTTACAGTTCCGTGCAACTACAGGAGAAATACAATTGTGTGAGAGAGCGCGGCTTAGGGTAAGAAAAGGCAGACAGAGCATGAAGAGTATTTCAATACCTGAAGGACAATGGGATGTTTATTAAAGATTATCTAAAACCAAAGCTTTTATTGTTTAGCATATAAGTAGAATTGTCTAAAACCCACATCATTTATTTTGTTACTATCTGTATGAGTCCACTTAGAGAGATTTCCCTTCACTTCCTGTCTTGAAGGCATAATCGAGAGTAAATATCTCTAAAGTGAGAGGAAGTCCCCTCTTACATGGCTGTCATCAGAGTGTCCCTTCGGAAGTTTTCCCCTCACCGCTTGCTCTGGTGAAAACTGTAAAACTTTGGATTTCTTACCAATTTTTGTTCAAGTGCCAGTCACCAGGACAATCAAAGATGGTGTCAGGGAAATCTTATGCGCATTTGAAGATATGCACATGCGCATAAAAGAACTTCTATAGTGAGAACTAGATGTGCCCTAACTTGCGTATGTGCAATAGGGTGAGCAAGCGTAAGTATTTGGTGCCCACTTGCCTTTTTATAGCTGCATTTGTGACTAAAGGATTGCTGAGTGGTCATCAGATTCTACTGCCTGTGACCTGATCCCATGCTAACTCCTGTGTCTACCTAGCCTGCTTGAGTTTGCTCGTTCCTGATACCATGTTGCTGACACCAGTTAATGACCTGACTCTGCCTTTTGTCTACTGCTCTGGTACCTTCTGTGCTCCCCTGTTGTCAACTCTAGCCCGACCCTTACTCTGCCTCCCGATTCTGTACCCATGTTCTACCATGTCAGCTTGCCTGACCACCGAGATCCTGCATCTGCCTGCTTGCCCACTTGCTTGCTGTCTGCTGTTCTGCTCCTGATGCTGTGACTCTGCCAGTCCACCAGCCTGCCTTCTGCGTGGCACCTACTGCAAGTATCTGCCATCCAGGATCTTCAACCAAGCACCCCTGCCACTCCATGCCCTGTTATATATCCTGTCACCATCTTCAGGAGAAACAGGACAGGAGGTGTAAGGGGCCTTCCCGTTAACTCAGCCTCCACCGGGTACATGACAGATGGTGACTCTCTCCAGCAGATAGCTTTTCTTTTGCAAAAGAATAGGTCTTGGCTTTAGGTACACATTAAAGCTGAACTTTAGGCAGATATAAAAGACACAAATTATTGCATATCTTTAGTCATAATTACATTTATATTTTTTAAGGGTCCATGCACACTAGGGGTAAAAAACTGTCAGGACCTCTGTTAGAAAAAGCGGCATAAAAAAAATGCTCATAGTGGCTCATATTGCACAAGAGTTTATGAGCATTTTTATGGGCATTTGCTTTTACAAGCATTTTTTTTCCCCCAAAACATTCCCCTCTCCTCATTTTTCACTATAATCAATTTACACTTGAAGACACCAAACACTCCTAAACGCCATGATTGGGCATGTTTATGAGCTGTAAGCATTTTTTCTGCTCAAAAGCAACTTTCAAAAACATAATTCTGAAGGGGTTTTTTTTTCTGCCTCTAAACGCTCCTCTGAAAATATGCCTGTAAGCTCCCTAATGTGCATGGACACATAGGCTAACATAGTGCTGCTTTTCAGGGACCAATGTAAGTGTACATGTGCCCTTATAGACATTAGAGAAGCTGTGCATGGTGCAGATTCTGCCTTCCTGCACTGTATCTAAAGTGTCCTCAAGAGCTGCTGCAGGCAGACCAATTAACTTTTTTTAGAAGGAGCCTTCGGTGACAATACCATCGCCTTACCACATGGTGAGAATGCCCCTTATGGTGAACCAATGTCTACATAGAGAGAAAAATACCAAACAGTTTATCTCCCAGAATAATATTCCCATGACTCACCATAGCCTCGGTCTGGAACGCCCCAGTCTCCTTTCTCTCCTAGTGACAGAATTTGGTGAGTTGGGTACAGCATTCTTCGCATACACTATATTACTCTCTCCTCCTAATACTTAAAGTGAAGCTAAAGGCTCAGTTTTTAGAAATACAAACATGTTATACTCACCTGCACTGTGCAATTGTTTTGCACAAAGCAGCCCCCATCCTCTTCTTCTTGCTTCCCCCACTGGTACTCCTGTCTCCTCCCTCTGCCTAGTGCCACCATAGTAAGCCCCTTGCAATGGCGGAACTTGTGCATGCTCACTCCTGAGCTGGCTCTGTGTATCCATTGACACACTGAGCACAACTCAACCCCAGGCTCTCTCCTCACTGGCTTTAATCTACAGGATCCAATGAGGAGCTGGGAGAGCAGATGCTTTCATACACATAGCTGGATCAGGATCGGGCTCCAGTAAGTATTGGGGGGGGGGGGCTTGGGGAGAGCTGCATACTAAAGGTTTTTTACCTTCATGCAAAATCCTTTACAACCACTTTAAATTGTATGTAGCCAACACTTTTTTTTAGTTTTGGATAGAGTAGGGAAGGTTGAGATTATTTTTACTGTCTGTGTACCACTGTGGAAATTTCCCTTCACTTCCTGTCAACAAGAAATTAGTAGAAACCTGCCAAAGTCAAGGTGAATTCCCTTCTTGGACAGCTGTCCCCATTGACAGGTTTCCCCTCACCTCTTGTTATGGGGCCAACTCTAAATTTTTGGATTTCCCCTAACTTTTTCTTTCTTGGTGACAATGGTCACCAGTACAAACAGAAGGATGAATGTCCTCAATGGGGACACAGAGAGCAATCAAAACTTCAAAGGGTCTAAGCTTAAAAAAAAAAAAAAATTAAATTAAGTTAAAAAAACAGTATTTTCCTAGAGATACATGTTTACTAGTCCCAGATGGGAACCCTGAATACTGGGCTCTTCTAAATCAGCATTGACCATCAAAAGTGTTGGCTTATTTGATACATGCGGCTATAGTGTTTGGGGAAAGATTTAACTATAGACAATGTTGCCTGGTCAGTAATCTGCCATGAAAACCATTTATTTCTCTGTAGGGATATAGTAATTGTACAATAATAGGGTGAGCAAGCGTAAGTATTTGGTGCCCACTTGCCTTTTTATAGCTGCATTTGTGACTAAAGGATTGCTGAGTGGTCATCAGATTCTACTGCCTGTGACCTGATCCCATGCTAACTCCTGTGTCTACCTAGCCTGCTTGAGTTTGCTCGTTCCTGATACCATGTTGCTGACACCAGTTAATGACCTGACTCTGCCTTTTGTCTACTGCTCTGGTTTCTGTGCTCCCTGTTGTCAACTCTAGCCCGACCCTTACTCTGCCTCCCCCAATTCTGTACCCCTACTGTTGCTACCAACGTCAGCTTGCCTGACCACCGAGATCCTGCATCTGCCTGCTTGCCCACTTGCTTGCTGTCTGCTGTTCTGCTCCTGATGCTGTGACTCTGCCAGTCCACCAGCCTGCCTTCTGCGTGGCACCTACTGCAAGTATCTGCCATCCAGGATCTTCAACCAGGGACCCCTGCCACTCCATGCCCTGTTATATCCTGTCACCATCTTCAGGAGAAACAGGACAGGAGGTGTAAGGGGCCTTCCCGTTAACTCACCTCCACCGGGTACATGACAGATGGTGACTCTCTCCAGCAGATAGCTTTTCTTTTGCAAGAGAATAGGTCTTGGCTTTAGGTACACATTAAAGCTGAACTTTAGGCAGATATAAAAGACACAAATTATTGCATATCTTTAGTCATAATTACATTTATATTTTTTAAGGGTCCATGCACACTAGGGGTAAAAAACTGTCAGGACCTCTGTTAGAAAAAGCGGCATAAAAAAATGCTCATAGTGGCTCATATTGCACAAGAGTTTATGAGCATTCTTTATGGGCATTTGCTTTTACAAGCATTTTTTTTCCCCCAAAATATTCCCCTCTCCTCATTTTTCACTATAATCAATTTACACTTGAAAACACCAAACACTCCTAAACGCCATGATTGGGCATGTTTATGAGCTGTAAGCATTTTTTCTGCTCAAAAGCAACTTTCAAAAACGTAATATGAAGGGGTTTTTTTTTTCTGCCTCTAAGCGCTCCTCTGAAAATATGCCTGTAAGCTCCCTAATGTGCATGGACACATAGGCTAACATAGAGCTGCTTTTCAGGGACCAATGTAAGTGTACATGTGCCCTTATAGACATTAGAAAAGCTGTGCATGGTGCAGATTCTGCCTTCCTGCACTGTATCTAAAGTGTCCTCAAGAGCTGCTGCAGGCAGACCACTTAACTTTTTTTAGAAGGAGCCACCGGTGACAATACCATCACCTTACCACACGGTGAGAATGGCCCTTGTGGTGAACCAATGTCTACATAGAGAGAAGAATACCAAACAGTTTTATCTCCCAGAATAATATTCCCATGACTCACCATAGCCTTGGTCTGGAGCCCCATGTGTGTCCTTTCTCTCCTAGTGAAGACAGAATTTGGTGAGTTGAGTACAGCATTCTTCGCATACACTATATTACTCTCTCCTCCTAATACTTAAAGTGAAGCTAAAGGCTCAGTTTTTATTTTTTAGAAATACAAACATGTTATACTCACCTGCACTGTGCAATGGTTTTGCACAAAGCAGCCCCAATCCTCTTCTTCTTGCATCCCCCACTGGCGCTCGGTCTCCTCCCTCTGCCTAGTGCCCCCATAGCAAGTCCCCTTGCAATGGAGGAACTTGTGCATGCTCGCTCCTGAGCTGGCTCTGTGTATCCATTGACACACTGAGCGCAACTCAACCCCAGGCTCTCTCCTCACTGGCTTTAATCTACAGGAGCCAATGAGGAGCTGGGAGAACAGATGCTTTCAAACACATTGCTGGATCAGGATCGGGCTCAGGTAAGTATTGGGGGGGGGGGGCTTGGGGAGAGCTGCATACTAAAGGTTTTTACCTTCATGCAAAATCATTTTACAACCATTTAAATTGTATGTAGCCAACACTTTTTTTTGTTTCAGATTGAGTAGGGAAGGTTGAGATTATTTTTACTGTCTGTGTACCATTGTGGAAATTTCCCTTCACTTCCTGTCAAGACAAACAGAAATTAGTGGAAACCTGCCAAAGTCAAGGTGAATTCCCTTCTTGGACAGCTGTCCCCATTGACAGGTTTCCCCTCACCTCTTGTTATGGGGCCAACTCTAAATTTTTAGATTTCCCCTAACTTTTTCTTTCTTGGTGACAATGGTCACCAGTACAAACAGAAGGATGAATGTCCTCAATGGGGACACAGAGAGCAATCAAAACTTCAAAGGGTCTAAGCTTAAAAAAAAAAAAAATTTAAATTAAGTTAAAAACAGTATTTTCCTAGAGATACATGTTTACTAGTCCCAGATGGGAACCCTGAATACTGGGCTCTTCTAAATCAGTATTGACCATCAAAAGTGTTGGCTTATTTGATACATGAGGCTATAGTGTTTGGGGAAAGATTTTAACTATAGACAATGTTGCCTGGTCAGTAATCTGCCATGAAAACCATTTATTTCTCTGTAGGGATATAGTAATTGTACAATAATAACTCTGTCCACTTCCAACAGGGCTGTGCAATGAGTATGTGAGCCTGTGATGTTATGGGCTGACCACTGAATTGTAGGCACACTGTGCAAATATCAGGAGCTACTATGCTATGCAATAGGGTGAGCAAGCGTAAGTATTTGGTGCCCACTTGCCTTTTTATAGCTGCATTTGTGACTAAAGGATTGCTGAGTGGTCATCAGATTCTACTGCCTGTGACCTGATCCCATGCTAACTCCTGTGTCTACCTAGCCTGCTTGAGTTTGCTCGTTCCTGATACCATGTTGCTGACACCAGTTAATGACCTGACTCTGCCTTTTGTCTACTGCTCTGGTACCTTCTGTGCTCCGCCTGTTGTCAACTCTAGCCTGACCCTTACTCTGCCTCTGGTCCGAATTCTATACCCATGCACGGGTCTACCAATGTCTGCTTGCCTGACCACCGAGATCCTGCATCTGCCTGCTTGCCCACTTGCTTGCTGTCTGCTGTTCTGCTCCTGATGCTGTGTCTCTGCCAGTCCACCAGCCTGCCTTCTGCTTGGCACCTACTGCAAGTGTCTGCCATCCAGGATCTTCAACCAGGGCACCCCTGCCACTCCATGCCCTGTTATATCCTGTCACCATCTTCAGGAGAAACAGGACAGGAGGTGTAAGGGGCCTTCCCGTTAACTCAGCCTCCACCGGGTACATGACAGATGGTGACTCTCTCCAGCAGATAGCTTTTCTTTTGCAAAAGAATAGGTCTTGGCTTTAGGTACACATTAAAGCTGAACTTTAGGCAGATATAAAAGACACAAATTATTGCATATCTTTAGTCATAATTACATTTATATTTTTTAAGGGTCCATGCACACTAGGGGTAAAAAACTGTCAGGACCTCTGTTAGAAAAAGCGGCATAAAAAAATGCTCATAGTGGCTCATATTGCACAAGAGTTTATGAGCATTTTTATGGGCATTTGCTTTTACAAGCATTTTTTTTCCCCCAAAATATTCCCCTCTCCTCATTTTTCACTATAATCAATTTACACTTGAAAACTCCAAACACTCCTAAACGCCATGATTGGGCATGTTTATAAGCTGTAAGCATTTTTTCTGCTCAAAAGCAACTTTCAAAAACGTAATATTGAAGGGGTTTTTTTTTTCTGCTCTAAGCGCTCCTCTGAAAATATTCCTGTAAGCTCCCTAATGTGCATGGACACATAGGCTAACATAGAGCTGCTTTTCAGGGACCAATGTAAGTGTACATGTGCCCTTATAGACATTAGAAAAGCTGTGCATGGTGCAGATTCTGCCTTCCTGCACTGTATCTAAAGTGTCCTCAAGAGCTGCTGCAGGCAGACCACTCTAACTTTTTTTAGAAGGAGCCACCGGAGACAATACCATCGCCTTACCACACGGTGAGAATGGCCCTTGTGGTG